TGCGCGCAGTCCCCTTTACTTCACCACCTTCCAGCTTCCCTGGGCTCCGCGGGGGATCGCGCTGCCCGCTCCGGGTGTCAGTCCTGCGGTAAATAAGTGTCTGCCCCGGCCCCAGAGCTGGCAAAAAGCAAGTTTTCCAGCTGTTTCGCTGGTCTGACAAAAACGAGCACAAATGTCCACCCAGCCTTGCAAGGACACTTCCGCACATCCTGGCCCCTGGCCTGGAGGCTTCACCCTCCAGCCGGGGAGGGCACAGACTGTCCCTCCGCCTGAGGAAGGGGGGTTGCGCCCTAAACCTTGCTCAGAAGAATGTTTCCAACTGAGTTGGTCTAATACAAGATGCCGGATTGACCCCCCCACCCCCAAACCCTGGTCTGCCATTTGGTCTAATACAAGATATGGGATTGACCCTCAAACCCTTCTCTGCCAGGTGGTCTAATACAAGATATGGGGTTGACCCCCCAAACCCTTCTCTGCCATTTGGTCTAATATAAAATATGGGATTGACCCCCAAACCCTGGTCTGCCATTTGGTCTAATATAGGATATGGGGTTGACCCCCCAAACCCTTCTCTGCCAGTTGGTCTAATATAGGATATGGGGTTGACCCCCCAAACCCTGGTCTGCCAGGTGGTCTAATACAAGATATGGGGTTGACCCCCCAAACCCTGGTCTGCCAGGTGGTCTAATACAAATTATGGGGTTGACCCCCCAAACCCTGGTCTGCCAGGTGGTCTAATACAAGATATGGGGTTGACCCCCCAAACCCTTCTCTGCCAGTTGGTCTAATACAAGATATGGCGTGGTAAAAATATGTTATAATCTAGTCATTATGATTTTGCAATAACGTTTGTGTAGCAGCTGTGTGATAAAAATGTCTCATCTCCCTACACAAAGGCTTTACAGCTGAGAACTGTTTAGTTTTATTACATAGTTGCTTTTGCATATTATCACGCTTGCTTCTGCTAAGGTATGTAGGCCAATGATAGATTTACGAGTAGCACTAGACTTCTGCAGACATAGCCAGGAACAGATGCAACAAATAACTCCTTAC